CAATATTGCATACAGCGCCATTTCCCCCCTGGTGGTGAGGTTTCGAACTTTCGTTTTTTCGCGGAAATTAAATTCCCATGACCTCCTTTACACGGTTACCAAGTTTGATAACATTTGATCCAGTAGTTTCCTTTTATGACCGTTTCAAAGTGAAACTTTAATTAGAACCACCCTGTATATTATTAAATTTTAATTTCAAGCTATGCGTTATATGTATACCATGCGTAAGATTTTCGCTTTTATGGAAAAAATAAAGAATCGAATCAAATATACTTAGGATAATGGACCAAAACTGAAAAAATTTCCTCTACCTCCGAAAACAAAATATTGAAAATTCGACCTTGAATTTATTGGATTATCGAAATATTCAATTTGACTTATCTTCTAAGTCCTAGTTCCGACAACAATTCCGTCAAAAATTCCGAATTACTGAGGCTGAAGTAAAAGGTTTAGTATATATTCACTATATGTTAATAAAAGTAATCAGAGTGTTATAAAAATAGGTTATAGAATTTATGCTGATGCAAATTTTTGTCCGAATGCACAACATGGAATGGAAGAGAAGGCTTGTAGAGATCTGTTTTTGACATGCCTCTAAAAGTAGATGGCCTACCAGCGGCCGAGCGGTAAAGACGCTGAACACTGGTAGTTCGGTCCGAGGTTCGAATCCCGCAAACGGGCTGGATGCATGGGCGTTTTCGTGGTTTTCTCCATGTGTAACGTGTATACGAGCCCGTTACCCTTAGAAATTCCTCCACGAAGGCATCTCTCTCTTTAGGCAGATAGCCCTCGTGTGCTTTGCCGTAACTGAATAATCCAATCCAATTCTAAAAGTAGATTGTCTCTTCAATGTCAAAAAACTTTCCTTTGAGAGGCAACTATAGTTTTTAGAAAACAAAACAACAACAACAACAAAAAAAAAAAAAAAAAAAAAAAATCCCAAGAAGACAAATTTGTAGGACATGCAGGACGATTGAGTACACATACTTATTTTCGGAACACAAGCGGTTCTCCGATTGGTTATTGAGTAACGAAAAGATGAATTGTCATGCAATACAAAACTTTTGGAATAAGTTTTCTGACTGAATAACGTAAGATTAAAAGTCATTTGCTTAATTCACAGCCATTTACAATTCAACTACTCGGGCAATTGCAGAATCGTTTTTGATCCTGAACTTGTAAGACAAACCTAATTATCACTGGATTTAAACACTTCTTTAATTTTCCGAGAACATTCCTTCTTTAGCTCATATTCCAAGAATATTAAGTGAATACAATTATTGCAAAAGAAATTTAATATTCATTTGCACTAGGCTTGGTAGTTTACTAACGAGTTAACAAAACTTAAATTCTGCTTTTTGTGTCTAAGAATACAATATTTTAAATATTTACAAATAAAATATTAAATTGGAGCTTCACCAGTTGCCTAGCATTTGAAGATTGTTAAATACTAATTGTTTGTTGCGAAGTCTAACCCAGGCTTGCATGGTTGGTTTTCGTAGTTTTCTCGGTTCTCTTTACAAATGTTCTCTATGAAAGCATCTTAACCAAATAGCTCCAATATTCTTTCTATGTTTAAATAGGCAACTAACCTAATTTAAGCGCGATTTCCAAGTGAAGTTACTAGCAAAACCCGAATACTCATTAAAAATCATGTAGCTTGCCGATCGGGCGTAACATGAAAGATACGGCGCCAATAATTGAATTGCTGTTACGGTACGCTGCTTCTAGTTCATTCCTTAATTAAATATAATTGATTTGTAACTTCTACTAGAGCTGACGGTAAGAACTGAAGTGTAATTATATAATATCGTGTGCAATCTTGATTAATATAAAATTAGAAATATTCGCATAGAAAAATATTTGCATTCAGACAGAAAGTTTTTTGAAATATTTGCAATTACTTAATAATTACTTATATTACTGATAATTAGAATTCAGGTCTTAACAATTACATTCTAAATTAGAATTTTAAGGGTATAATGAAAATACGCTAAGCATAAAAATGCATTTTAGAATTCATTTAATAAACATCGTACCCTCGTTGTTAATTGAATCCAGAAAGTTGGGTGTCGTTTATATAATTATTCTTACTTGTCCACAGAATCTGCTGACTTCCAACTATTAAGTAGCTGCAGATCATTTCTACATAACCATTGAACTTCCATTAATTCGGTCTCTAGAGGGTTGTATGCTTATATCACCGCTCTTTCAGCCACTTCATAAGCAACAGCTTGTTTAGAAATTAATTATGTAGTTAATGTCATAAAATTATTTTCGTAAAATTCAAATAAGCATCAAACGAAAGTTCTCAGTTTTAGACACTTCGGTTTAAACGAAGTTAAAGTAAAGTAGCTGACGAGAAAACGCCGAAGATAAAAATTTACTCCTACAAATATTTTTTTTAAAAAAGGAAGAAATTAAAAAAAATAGTTAAAAATGAAAAAAAAAAATAGCTTTTCATATAGTATTAATAAATATTTATTACGCATCATTCAGGGAAAAAAATTCATATAATTAATTCTAAGTAAAATTTTATTTGAAATTTAAAGTTAAAAATAGCTGTGCCAATTCATTCATTCATTCATTCATTCATTCATTACAAATTATGCCGAAATATTGCATTTGATGCAACGTGGGTGGCAATTCACTGTAACAAAAATCCATAAACCAATTTGGCGTTTTTATTGCTCAAATAAAAGATGCCAAATTTCACAACGCAAAAATATGTAAATTCGTGTATATCTTAGAAATTTTTGAATAAAAAGTTTAATTTTCTGCAGGTATGCTTAGAAATACACCTACTTTAAGATGATGGTAAAAATTTTATTGGTTATAATTCAAAATTTTTTTTCGAAAAATTTATAAAAATTATTTAAAAATAGAAATTTAAAAAATAAAACACAAAAAATGAGTAAATTTTATTTGGAATGAACCTAAATTTCGAAATGTGAAAGTAAAAATCAAAAAAGTTTAATAAAAAAAGAGATATTAATAAATATTTGCTAAATTCAATTAACATTGAGGAGCTAAAATTTTTACAGCTAATATTTTAAAAACCACTCGTACGATTTTTACAAAACTTGGCATTCTGGCATAATTTGAGTCGTAGAATTGAAATATGAAAAAAAAATTGGTCTGTTATTTCAGAAAAAGTCCGATTTTGTGTCAAAATACCTATGTTAGAATAGTGCTATATATAAATCTAATATATATACTAACAGAAAATATAGCACTGTCTCATTTTTTTTTTTGAGCGGTGTACATACATTTATGTAGATTCTTCATTATTTAATTTCTTCAAATATAATAAAAGCCGATAGTATTTAGTGCCAACGATTTGAAAAATGATACAGCCTTTTAAAGTTTTCAACGCAAAATCGCGAAACGAAAACAATAGTCCTTCAGGGACAAAGCCCCTTTGAACTAAAAAAAAAAAAGTAATTTTATTTTTAGTTCCAAATGGGCATTTGCCCTGAAGAACTATTAATTTCGTTTTGGCATTTTGCGTTGAAAACTGTAAAAGGTTGTGTCAATTTTTCAAATCGTTGGCACTAAATACTATCGCCCTGTATTATATTTGAAGAAAATAATGAAGAATCTACATAAATGTATATGCGTTTCTCGCATTGTGATAAAACAACGGCAGCTAGAGCCATTAAAATTTGAATACTGTAATCTTCCATAGAAAATGAATATGTGGAAGACCTAATTTGAATTTGAAATTTGTTTTATTATCGATGTCATATTTTGTAATACCTCAATGAATTTTTGATTAAAAAACTAAAATATTTCAAAGCGAGCAATGGCAACACTGTACGAATTTTTTTTTTTTTTTTTCTTATCCACAGCATGGGAGACTCTATATCGGAAATTCTAAAGATATGCTCAGTTTTAAATTAATTTGCGATATTTCTGTTGAACTGAATTTTATAGTTTGAGTACGGAGAATATGATATTTAATAAATAAAGGTAACACATAAAACGTTTAAAAAAGGGCCCTTTGGACGTAATTTAAAATCTTAAATCTTTCAGATTTTTAGATTTTTTACGACTTACGCTTTAAATAAGGAAGGAAAAAGAAAGGGGGAAAAAATAGATGCTGGCATTGGAGTAGAGGATTTTCTTGCCACCGTTTAAATACAACTATATATACTTTACATATAAAAACTCTGAAATTTAATGTAAAGTGAGAATACTAAAATAGTTCAATTTTATCTTAGTTTTTTTTTTTTCAATTCTACATTTTGATAATAACATTTTCTTCTTTCTTTCTTTAAAATTTTTGATGCAGGTAATGCTATGAAATTATACCATTGCAATTTTTGAAAGTTTCAAAGAACTGTATATGATATCCAAAGAGAAAACAATTACCCATATAACCTTTTTTGAGGGGTATTATAGATACTTACAGATACTATGCTCAAAGACATATATAGTTAGTTGACTTACATATAGCTATGTTTTATTCTTATTATACTTATGATGAGTAAAATTACAAAACGACGGTTTATTTTTTTAAGTTAAGATTCATACGAAAAATAATTTTATCACTGAAAATTTTCATGCAAAGACAAAATTACGACGAAGGTTAATAAAATAATATTTTGCATCTGCAGTGCGCAGTAATTTTCTCGAATATTCCGCAGTCTTGCGAATCGATTGAACTACCGCATTCGCAATGCGCATTTGCTCTGACGTCATAGATTGCCTTATTGCTACTTTACCTTTGTAAGCATCCGCTGAAGAAAACTTGTGTTTTCAGGAAAGGGAATAAATTTTAATTTCAGTTTTATTATTTAAATAAAACATATAAAGAAAAGAAAAAGAAAGTTGATCTCTAAATCATTATTTTAGATAAAAATGTTGATAGTTATTCTGAAAGGAAAAAATACAATGTATTTTTGGAACTTAATGTCTTAGATTTGCTCAAGAATACAGTGGTAAGTCTAGTTGTATTCAAATATAGGTTATAAATATAGGCTGTAAGTGACTCTCTGCACCAAAATCTCGCTGAATGTGCTCCCTGTTTGTTGTCAGCGGTGGTAAGTATGTATAATGGTAGAGGTAAGTTTGTTTCCGAGTAAGAGACGACTTTGCGAATAAGTAGTGTGGCGTATATTTAATTGATACTTTCTTTCGTTAATACAGGACTCGTGGTGCTAGTAGTGGATGGCAATTGTGCTACGTTTTTAAGTGCAATTAAGAAAGGGAACATTTTTGACCAAGGGGAAAGAGTGGTAAACTAGCAAACTGAAGAAATACCTGATCGTCGGCTGTTGGGTATAAATTTTGAGGGACAATATTATAATTACAGATGATAAACGTTTCGATAGTAATTGCATGTAGTATGATGAGTGGAGTCTTTATTTTTTAAAATTTTGATTCTAAATGTTTTAGTGTATGAGTATATGTGCCGGTGCAAACCGGGAAATTTCTTTTGATTGGAATTTTTCAGACAATTTTGACCAGTAATTGAATGAAGAATAGAAGCATTTCACGATTGGAATGTGATGAGAATGTAAAAAAAAAAAAAAAAAAAAAAATACGTATGTCTTCAACTATATCTAATTTTGTGAAAAAAAATGCGTGTCTATTTCTAATTTTTTTTTATGTAATCTATTTTATGTAAATCCCGAGCGTAAGCTTGGGTAGATCTGGTTTTTTTGTTTGTTTGTTTGTTTCAGATTGTAGTGCGGTTAAATGAGACTGCGTTTCGAAATTGTGCGGTGGAGAATGCGGTAATGAGTAATAGCCCAGAAATCGTAACATGACATTTTTTATCTACCTGTAAATTAAATATTTGTTACATGAGTGAACCGAATTTGCATAACAATTTCGTTTCATTACAGGATATAAATGGTGTAACCGAAGTGTCGAACGTGTAATATGTAAATTATCTTCCTTTGTTCTACGCACTTTTGCGGGAAGGGATATAGGCATCTAGATTTGTATTAAGCGTGTTATCCGAAAACTATGATTAGTGGCAAAATAAGTATAAATTTTTATTTGTTTAATGAAACAATTATGAAATGAATTTAAACTTTGTTTTAAAAATTGTTTATTTGTTTTAAAAATTGTTTATGACCAGTTTCTGGCGTGTGCAGTTTACCCTGTGCTGTTTCATTTGTTGCAGTGTGCGATGTTGGAGTAAGGTATTGCTGCCGGTATCTATTTTTTTCGTCTTAATATTTATTTTTAAATAAACGTTGCTAAAGCGAGTCTCATTTTTATCTGATTTTTTATTGAATGTTAAATTTTTATTAATTAAAGCGAGTATTTAATGATGTCTTATGTTTGCAGTTATATTTTTCTTGATGCCTTTTTATTAATTTTAACAAAAGTTAAATTTCCATTATTGTTGAAAATATGTGCTTGCAGAAAAACCCGTGTCGTAGTTGAATTAACTATAATTATACTGTAAAGCATCGAATGTTAAAACGTGAAATTATGAGTGCGATGTACTGGGCGTAAGCCCAGCAAAATGTTTTCGTTTCTCTTTTTTGCAGATACTTTTCGACCGTGTAAAGCAATCAAGAAATCAGAATGTTGAAAACTAACCTGTTCGGTGGTAAGATAAACTTATAAAAAACTTATAAAATTACGATTGTTGAAGAAAAAATTGGGAACTGACAATTGAAAACCAAAGTGAGTTAATATACAGAGGAGTACTTGGAGAAAGACCAACTCTGTCCCATGCATAAAAGTTTTGTTTTGACCGTTTAGAGGACATATTCTTCGTGGTCCTGGGAAAAGACGTTGGCTGACCTGTGGGAGCATATTTCAATTTGCAAATGCTTGGTAAAATTTAAGAATTTTTCATTCTTTACATATTTATCAGATAAAAGAATTAGGTATTTTATGAAATATGCTATCGTGAATATTCCAATTAATAATTGGTCACAAAAATTTATTTGTGAAAGTGAAAATGAGTCCTAGCACATTCTAGACCTGCCGATCTTAAAATTTTCCCATTGGGTATTTCAGATCTGCAGTATGAAGGCTAAAAGAATTTGAAGAGCTTTCCATTTCTTGTGATAAATCAAAGGTTATAAAATTAGGTTTTTGATTTTCAGGTGAAAGAAACTAGTTTCTTAAAGAAAAAGTATTATTGAAAAAAATTGAGCTGTAAGGTGGCTGTTTATGCATATTCTAGTACTTGCAGAGGTCTAATTTTCCCCATTTGGTAATTTTCATGTTTTTCATCAAGTATTGACAAAATTTTTGATTTTTTTGTAAGAATTATAAGATATAAGAAGTGCTAATAAATACTGTAATTATCTTTAACTGTGTAGCATCGATTTTTTTTGGTGTAAAATTAAGATATACTGGGCAAAGCCCAGGGAAATGTTTTCGTTTTTCTTTTTTTTTCCAGACATCTTTCGACTGAAAATCACAATGAAGGTGGTCAGAATGTTGAAACTATAAACTGCCCCGTTTCGTGGTAAGATTGACTTGATCATATTGGATGGAACACGGAAACTGGCAATTAAAAAACAAAGTTTGTTAGCTTGTTTTGATTCGTTTTTTTAAGTTTAGATGCTTGAATTACTTAACGTACGTTAGCCATTTTTTTAACGCTGTTGAATAGGAATGAATACAGCAAGTCGCAATAAGAGGCGTACTTGGATCGACTCCGACTCTTGTCTGTTATTGACTGGTTAGAAGACATATTCCTGGTTGTTCTGGAAAATGACACTGGCTGCTGAGCTGTAGGAGCATATCTTAATTTTCAAATGTTTGGTAAAATCTTGGAATTTTTTCTTCCTATAGTTACCAGAGTAAAAGAATGAAATATTAATCTAAATTTTTATATGGAATATTCAGTAACTAAAATATATTATAAAAAATTTTTTTAAAGGGGAAAATATGAAGATTTTCGTTTCTGAAAGGCAAATAATTAAAAAAATGGTTCTAGCTGAAAAAAAATGGTCTTAGCTGTGAAAGCACATTCTAATTACCTGCTGATATCAAAGTTTTCCCCCTAGTTAGGATTTTTTGCTGTGAAAGCACATTTTAATATACCTGCTGATATCAAAAGTTTTCCCCCTAGTTCGGATTTTTTTTTTGTCAGCAGTAGTATGGAAGCTAAAAGAATCTGCAAAGCTTTCAAGATGTTAAATATAAATTTTAGCAATTGCGAATTTCGGGGGAGCTTCATAAATATTGGAAAAAAAAAAGCTAAGTTGCCTGCTTAAGTACTTTCTTATACTTGCAGATATCAAATTTGTCCCGGTAGGGATTTTTGATCTGAATTGAGCATTGGCAGAACTTCTGATTTTTTGTAAGAATTGTGAGGTATGGGAGTGTTAATACTGTAATTATTTTATACTGTGTTACATCGAAGATTTTTCATGTGAAATTAAGAGTGCGATATACCTGAGAACAGCCCAGGAAAATGTGTTTTTTTTTTTTTTTTTTTTCCAGACGCCTATCGACTGTGTAAAGCATAATCAAGAATGGTCAAAAAGTTGGAAAAATAAAACTACCCCATTAGGTGGTAAGATTAACTTGATGATATTGAAGGAAAAGAAAATCGGGAATCGACAAAGTTTGTTAGCTTGTATTCATTCATTTTATTTTAAATCATTTAGATAGTTATCATTTAGATGCCAAGTTACCAAAATTTTTAACACTGTTGAATAGGAACATCAGTTAGCAAGTTTTCTACAGACACACGGGTAATGCGAGAGGGACCAACTCGGTCTTTTGTTATGACTGTTAGAAGACGTACTGCTGGTGGTCATCGGAAATGAAATTGGCTGTTAAACTGTAGGAGCATATCTTAAATTTCAAATGTGTGGTAAAATTTTGGAATTTTTATTCTTTCTAAAGTTAATCGGAGTAAAATTTATAATACTTGTGAATATTCAATTACTAATAGATCTTGCAAATACTAATAGATCTTGCAAAATAACTCATCTTTTAAAGTAAAAAAAAAGTAAAAAAATATGTAGATCTTAATTTTCTTAAAAGAAATTGATTATTTAAAGAATTAAGCTATGTAAGCACATTCTAGCATACCTGCAGATCTCAAATTTTCTTACCAGTTATGTTTTTTTATCTGCAGTTGTATGAAGGCTAGGAAGAGTTTGCAAAGCTTTTCACATTTTTTTTGCATGTGAAGGTATAGGAATGTGAATTGAGCAGTTGCATATTTTCTTCTGAATGCTTAGAAGTAAAAAATTTGTTTTTAAAATTGCTAAAATTTGGCAGGATTCTTGTCATTTTATATTCTAAGGATATTGAATTTTAATTAATGCTCTTAATAATAAAAATTCATTTGTAATATGAATGTTTTGCACAATTAACTGAGGTGTGCCTAAAAATAACTAGACTATGTAAATGTTTTTATTAAAGTAGTTAAACTAAACTATATTTAAGTGTTAAAAATGGGATATACTGGGCTTGGCCCAGTCGAAATGTCTTCCTCTTTCTTTTCAGATTTTGTTTTTGGAAAAATGTGTTCTTTTGGCCATGGGAGATGGTAGATTTCTACAGTAAAAGTTAGTCTGAAGCAAATAACAGAATGTGAAGTTAGCTTGTTTTAATAAATTTTCCTATTAGTTTCTAAAGAAGAATAATTTTTATTTTTAGTTTGATTAAAACTTGCATACATTTAGCAGCCAAATTTTTTATGTTATTCAACAGGCTCTGTATTTCCCAAGGTACATCCCACGAGTGATAAAATTGCATTCCTTTTTCTCTTCTGCCTCTTTGAATTCTGGAGACAAAATGCCCTACTTTCTCAGCAGGGAAATGTTCTCGATTGTCCTGTCTGCTTTTACATTTAGAAGAGTTATCCCAACAAGTTGTCAGCTGTTGCAGGAAATCAAATCTCTTAAACCCAAGAAACATGCCCTGTTGCAGGAAATCGAATCTCTTAAACCCAAGAAATATGTGCCATGAGCTGTTTGTTGACTGTGAGAGCTATGTTGACAACTGTAACTCCATTAGTACAAATAAGTGAAAAGCAATCTCGTTTAGAAGTAGCTGAAGGTTACAATTATATGTTTGTATTGAATTTAAAGTAATTAATTATTAACTTAACAGATTTTGTGCTAAAATAAAATTTGAAGACTACCTTATTTAGAAAAGACCTGTGTATAAGAGAGCTATGTTGACAACTGTAGATCCTTAGTACAAATAAGTGAAAAGCAGTATTAGCTGGAGGTAACAATTATGTGTTTGTATTAAAAAATTTTAAGTAATTATTAATTTACTTGACAGATTTTGTGCTAAAATCTAATTTGAAGACTACCTTATTTAGAAAAGAGAGTTTTAACAGTTTAAAGTTTAAAACAATACCTGTTCAAGAACAGTCAATTTGTTTATACCTATTTAAGAACAGTCAATTTGTTAAATAGGTTTAAATGTCTTATGTAGTAAGATGAAAAAAAAAAAGTGCTATTAGTATGAGAACTGCATACACTAGTTTGAAACAGGAAAGCTGCTTCAGTGTATGAATAATAAAAAAAAAGTTGTTTCAGTTATTTGCAGTTAATGCATGGATTATAACAAGTTGTTTTAATTATTTGCTAAATTTTAAAATTGTAGGCATTGGTTGCATCATAATGGAAGAATTAAAAAAAATAGTTTTGATAAAGAAGCTGATACTTTCATAACTGAAATTTAATTTTTATCTTGATGCTTCCTCTGTAGTACTGTATTTTGAACAGAAATTCTGTTTACTGAAATCAATCGGGACAACCTGAAATATTTCTGATGTTAATCACTTAAATCTAGTTGAAGGAAATATATTTTCTTTAAATATATATGAAAATAGCACTTTTATAAGAAAGCAAATTGAATGTTCAAATTCCGGAAAGAAATAGCTTAAGTTATGCCTATAAAAAAAGTATTGAGTTAATAGATGTTTTTAAAATTGATTGCAGAAATGAGATGGTTTGGTTTTTTCAGGGGAATCTTAACACCAGTAAGAAAAGCATAACTTAAAAAGTTCTATTTCTGGAAGAGTGAAAGGTCTTGCATTTAACTGAATAAAATTTTTAGTTAACTAAAATTTTTAATCAAGTTAAAACAACATGGAGTCTAATAAGTGTGCTTTATCTATTAGTGTCTTTTCTTTTCATTGGTAGTATCTGTAGATAAGTTATTTGACCCATCTGGATCTTAGGAGCTGTGTTATTTCCTATTTTTCAAATGTGTCCCTATTTGCAAGTTTAGTGAAAATTCGCTCCAGAACTCCCACTGCAACAGTAACGTGATAGATGTGTGGTAAAACTATTAGTATATTCTGCACAATTGCCTCTCCACAACAGAATTTAAATACACAGGACTAATGGACTAAATCATGTGTGTGAAGTTGAATGATGTTATAATTGGATTTTAACTATAATTGTATGAAATAATTCATATGTAAAATATTTTGCTAATCTGTGAAATAAACTAGGCACTGATAAATTCAATTCTTGCATTATGTAAAATACATATATGAAAAATGTGTTAATAAAGATACTAAAATGTCCATTTACTGTCTTGGTTTGAATAATTTGAGCTTGAATTGAGCCCTCCTCTTAGAAAAGAAGTGCTAGAAAAGGTAGGTGAATATTTTTAATATAAATATAGAGAAGAATTTGGTGTGGAGATAATTGTCCCTGTAAAAAAAAAAAAATACGTAGATTAACAGGTTAAAGGAATGTGATAAATGTAACTAATAAAAAATATGACTTATTTGATTTCAATTGAAAACTTGTAAAAGGTAATAAGATGCTAAACAAATAGTTCTTTAAATTTCATGTTAAAAAACAATTTGAATTTCATGTTAATTCAATCATGAATGATTGAATTAAACTAATAAAATTGACTGAATTATTTAAAAACGACTAATTTAAAACCTTAAATAATTTCATTTAAACCAATAAAAATTGACTAAAATATGAATATTTAAAACCTAAATAAATATAAAAACGTATTCATAGGGCATGTGACTTTTCAAGGCTACTTTTTTAGCTCCTGTTGTATTGTGTGTCGGATGGAAATTACTGTAAACATGTAATTAAAATGGCTTCTAAGATGAGAAAGTCAAATTTACTGTATAACTGAAATCTGTTACCTATTGCCAAAGCAGTGACATTAGTAATAGGTAGTGCCAAAAACAGTGTTATAATTTCTAAGAGAAAAAACTGTCATTCAAGATGAGTGAGGTATGTTTTCAAAAAAGTGCACTAATGGAATGAGTTTTTTTGTAAATATAGTGTTGAAAAGTGTAAAATTTGAATTTACAAGTGTGAAACTAATGGGAGGGTGAAAAATGGTTACTGTGTGTTGACCCCTAAAAACGTTAAGCATCAAAATTCCTCGAAATGTGTTAGAAATTAGTGTTCCAAATAAAACTGCATTTAGTAGCTTGCAATGTATTGAAAACGAAACCAGAGTTTACTACCTTGCACTCAGAATTCCTGAAATGAAAAATAAAAGTCCTTAAACTGCTTTGATTTAAAATTTACCCCGTAACTAAAATGAAACTGTGTTGTGTAAAAGAGAGAAGTATATCTAGGAGATTCTCTGTTTAAAACTTGTGTTCCTGTGAATTGCAAAATTAGTAGTTTACGTAGAGTTAATATCTGACCTATCTGCATTGAAATAATGGTAGAAGGTTCGTGTTTCATTTTATAGGCAGACCTTTAATCGAGAAGTGTTTCCAATACCCAAAAGGGCAGTTCCAGAAAAACGTTAAAAAATTATTATAGTATTTCGGTACTGAAAGATGTGTTTAACATTTGATACTAAATTTGTGAAAAATATCCTTTTGAAAATAACTAGAAAAACGAAAATTGATATGAAAATAAATCAAAAAACGAAAATTGATATGAAAATAAATCAAAAAACGAAAATTGATATGAGTGTCCTGTACAGAGAAGTAATACTAGCGAAATTGTAAAATAAAGAAAAGGTCGTGATAATGTTGTGTGTGAAATTGTGGTTATTCCCCTCGTTTAAACCACCCCCTTAACTAAGATTTAAATTAGAGGAATTAATTAGTTGTACTGTGTACAGTAGAAAAAAGTAAACGTATGTTCTCCTCAGTTTTAAAATTAAATATTTAGAATTAAGCCTATGAAAGAAAAGAGTTTTTAACAAAACAGTTTGGTGTTTAAGGTAGCGAAATGGTTAATAGAGTTGTTTTTCAAGAATGATAATAGTTTTACATATTATGAAAAGATAAGAAGTTGACTGGTGTAGCAGTGATAACATTGAAGGTGTGACCATTATATTATGAGATTTACCTGGTAAAGAAATGTCAACGCTGTAAGATTTGTATTCCGTAAGCTATATTAGCTGTCGATTTCATATTGGAACAATGTATAGAGGTATAACTTACCCTGAAGACTACGTGTGACCCCTAGAATGTATCTTTCTGAACATAATAGCCAATTTACCCGAGCTGTGTCCTTGCAAAAATACGTAAAATATTGGAACTCTCTAGAGATTAAACTGGTTGACCCATCTTAAATGAGGTATGGTTAAAATAAATATTCGTACAAAGCAATTAGGGAATTCAAAAGCAATTGGCATTTGTGTAATGTATGGCATATTGAGCGTGGTATTAAAAGTTTCTGTGTAAAAAAACTGTGTCAAAAAGTGAAAAGGTTGACTCGGCAGAACAAAGCAAATGTAATTTTTTAAATTGTTTTAAGAGAGTTAAAAAAGCACTGTAAGAGAGTAAATAAAACTGCATTTAGTAGTTTGCAATGTATTGAAAACGAAACCAGAGTTTATCACCTTGCACTGAATGAAGAAAAATTCCTGTAGTGAAAAATAAACTGCTTCGATTTAAAATTTACCCCATAACTAAAATGAAAATGTGTTGTGTAAAGGAGAGAAGTAAATCTAGGAGGTTCTCTATTTAAAACTTAAAAAGAAAATTTATTTTAAACAAACCAAATAGAAAACTGCACAGTTAAAAATAAAAGTTGACCGATTGTATAAGTAGAGATTTTAAAGCCCCTCATTTTTGCTAGAGTATTAATGATGGTCCTCCCATACGTTAATAATCATCAATTTAGTGAAAAAATTGCAGCAGTGAAGGTGTGAATCTTTTAATTTACCCTAAACCACCATGCAGAGAGTTAGTGTTCCTCCATTGCTTAGTAAGTTAAACTGTTGATATTAAGTCTTTGAATCATGAGTAAGAAGTATTATTTACTTTAAATACTGTAATGTGTGACCCTTCGATTTCATCTGAAAATATTTTCCATTGTGTAAAAATGAACCCCTTTTATGTTGGCCTGGACAGTGAAGGTTTGACCATTGTTTTAGAAGATACTTTTCTGATAACGAATCTCCCCCTGCAGCAAGGTATAAGTTTTCTTGTTATGTGTTCCTGTTGAATTGCAAAATTAGTAGAGTTTACGTAGAGTTAATATCTGACCTATCTGCATTGAAATAATGGTAGAAGGTTCGTGTTTCATTTTATAGGCAGACCTTTAATCGAGAAGTGTTTCCAATACCCAAAAGGGCAGTTCCAGAAAAACGTTAAAAAATTATTATAGTATTTCGGTACTGAAAGATGTGTTTAACATTTGATACTAAATTTGTGAAAAATATCCTTTTGAAAATAACTAGAAAAACGAAAATTGATATGAAAATAAATCAAAAAACGAAAATTGATATGAGTGTCCTGTACAGAGAAGTAATACTAGCGAAATTGTGAAAATGAAAGAAAAGGTCGTGATAATTTTGTGTGTGAAATTGTGGTTATTCCCCTCGTTTAAACCACCCCCTTAACTAAGATTTAAATTAGAGGAATTAATTAGTTGTACTGTGTACAGTAGAAAAAAGTAAACGTATGTTCTCCTCAGTTTTAAAATTAAATATTTAGAATTAAGCCTATGAAAGAAAAGAGTTGTTTAACAAAACAGTTTGGTGTTTAAGGTAGCGAAATGGTTAATAGAGTTGTTTTTAAAGAACGATAATAGTTTTACATATTATGAAAAGATGAGAAGTTGACTGGTGTAGCAGTGACAACATTGAAGGTGTGACCATTATATTATGAGATTTACCTGGTAAAGAAATCTGCACGCTGTAAGATTTGTATTCCGTAAGCTATGTTAGCTGTCGATTTGATATTCGAACCAGGCATAGAGGTATTATTTACCCTGAAGATTGTGACGTGTGACCCCTAGAATGTATCTTCTGAACATAATAGTGAACATAATTATGTGTTGCTGTGAATTGCAAAATTTGTAGAGTGTGTGTAGAGGTGATGTCTGACCCATCTGCACTGAGATGGTATGTTGAATATATTTAGGTTTCTTGTGAAGACGAGGAACACTGTTTAAAAGTGAAGACATCAATATCCCAGAGTGAAACAAATATAGTGTAGAAGGCATGACACAGTTTAAGAAAGTATGAAAACACTATTTGTTTGACCCTGAAAAATCTTTTTGAATTTACAGTTTCTGGAAAGTAAAAAGTTGTCTATATTACTTCTTATGTCATTTGTGTATTGCATGTATTTTTTGTTTCTGTAAATGAAAGAATTCATTGAATGAGCAAAGTTTTAGTGAAAATTGGTTCCCGTAGTGGGAAAAGAATATTTTGTGAAACTGAAAATCTTTTTGTTGGGAATATGTAGTAATTGCTTTGATTTAGACTAACCCTGTAACTAAAATTTAATTTCTAGTTGTGCTGTGTGTAAAAATAAATTTTCGTAAACTTTTGTAATTTTACCTGCTGTGGAATCATCCTTCATGTGGAGAAGTTAGAGTATTCTCTAAATGCTGTCAACTGTTGCTGTGATATTAAGGAGTTTAGTTCAAGTCATGTATAAACAGTAATATATTGTGTTATAAAAATTGCTAAGCGAGGAAGGAAAACGTTTTTATGTACTTTAGTATTCGTGTGTAAAATACGGTGATGTCTACAGTAGATAAAGTGGGATCAAATGACATTTAACACCTAGCTGTCCGCTAACAGTGATTTGCTTGCTGCATATCCTTTCTGATGTAAATATTGTATCACCATTCAGTTTTTGATTTGAATAGTTCCAGTATAAAATTTGCAGTGTGTTTTGCCCATCTAAAATGTGTATAAAATACTGTGGCTATTGCACAGTGGCGTAGCAAGTATAACTGGCGCCCGGGGCAAAATACCTTTTTGGCGCCCCCCCCCCACAAAAAACTTTCAGTAATATAACATATAGAATATATTCTCAATAAGAAAATCATGAAAATAATAATAAAATGCTGAATCTGCCATAAAATACTCAAAAATATATTAAGAATAATCACTACCTAACTACTAGCCTTGGATTATGAAATGCATCTGTGTCGGCACAAAAATTAGACGTACGATGATCTAGAATTAGTTAAAAAGGTGTTATTTATTTTACATATTTATATAAATGTTTTTAAAAAGTACAGTTTTTAAACAATTAAAAGTTTAATATACATTATAGATAAATAGATATGTGGCAACTTGCCTACTACAACTCAATTCTGCCAGTCTGGTAACCCATAGCAACC